CCAAATCGAATAAGAAACATATTACACTTATACTCAGTTAATGTTATGCATGTCTTCCATATTAAAGTCAGAAGTCTGAAGCTTAAAACAGCACATTATAATTCCCCCATTTTACTCAGGCATTTACATGTGCACCTCCAGGTCTGTTCCCTCAGTATAAAGCACTATGCATGAACAAACCACATTAACAGTCAGGACAGACTCTGTGTGTTTGGGAAAGTCACTGTAATTGTAGGTTGCTTGTCTCAGTGAGTAACTGCAGCGTAAAGCTGGCACAGGCTGTGGCCTCAAGCATGAAATTACAAATGAAATTTAATTTGCTTCACATCCACTGTCTACACAGAGATCATGGACAGGACACCACCCAAGTAGTTGAAGGTTTTAACATGTGTATGTGTGTTGGGGCAGTAATAGTCTGCACAATTGTTTCACAAATTTCTGAAGAAGTCCTAGCAAGAACACGTTTTACACATTTCTGAAGAAGTCCTAGCAACATTACAGTTTGAAAGCTTGGGGTTTTTTTTTTTAAGAAATTAATACTTTTATTCAGAAAGTATGCATTAAACTGATCAAAAGTGACAGTAAATATATTTATAATCTTACAAAAGATTTCTATTTAAAAAATAAATGGGTTTTTTTCCCTCAAGGAATCATGTTCTTAAAATATTAAGGTGAAGAGCTTGAAAAAAGTCAGCACACTCAAACATCAAAGAGTCAACAAGCGAGATGAAAGCAATATAAGCAATTTACTGAGTAAAAACAAGGCAAACGTTTCGGTCACATGTTGACCATTTTCAGTGCCAAGCCTTGACAAGGACTTTTTTCAAGCTCTTCACCTTTGGGAAACTTTTTTGGTCTACGCACCTCAGCTGGATTATGGCGGTGAATCTCTGGCTGCTTCTCTCTTAAAATATTAAGAAAAAGTAAAATATTAAGCAGAACAACTGTTTTCAACATTGATGATAATAATAAATGTTTATTAAACACCAAATAATCATATTAGAATGATTTCTGAAGACTGAAGCAGTGGCTGCTGAAAATTCAGCTTCGCCATCACAGGAATAAATTACATTTGAAAATATATTACAACAGAAAACAGTTATTTAAATAATAATAATTTAATAATAATAGTAGCACTAGTAGTATACTTGTAGGCTACAAGTGTGTGTAAGTATGTGTGTGTGTTTGTTTGAAAAGGTATTGAGCGGGGACCCCATGAGATCATACTTTAGATGTTTGTGTGTGTGTATTTGACCGTGTTTGTGTTTAAAGATTATTCTCCCCTGTAGCTGCGGTTGTCTTGGCATTTCTCTTGCACAGTCTTTAATGAATTAAGGGGACATTGAACTCGACATTGATTTGTTTGCTGTGGTTTAAACAGTAATAGGCCACACAAACAGGAACACAGACACTACTCCAAGTTCAGTTCAATTCAGTTTAGATGTTTTATATGGTACTTTATATGGTGGCTGTGGTTAAGAATTTGGGTTAATGACCCACATTCAAACCCAGATAGGGTCAATCCATAGCCTGTACAGTAACTGACATTACCTGGAACTAAGTTTAAATACCAAAACCAAATAACATTACAATTAATGATCCCTCTAAGCTGCGAGGATAAATGGAAACCGAGCTCTGATGATGCTCCTGTGCATGCTGGAAAAAAAAAAGAATTAGCAATTAACAGAAGGTAAATTCAAATATAGGCTATGGGTGAAAAAGAGAATTTCTTAATTCTAGAGATAAACAAATGGGCAGCCTTTCAACTGGTGTCCAGCCACATGCTTCATCCGAATGGCTGCATTAATTCACAAAAGGATTAATTATAATTAATTTGTGAACATCACAAAGATTGTATGCTCATACTACCAACAGAAGCCCAAAATGACCACTCATAATTTTTTTTGTGTGTTTCTTGACCTTGACTACACACAATTTAGAGTTTTTTGAGCATTACTTTGAGTTGTATATAGAATGATATTATATCCTAGAATACACACACACACACATATATATACACAGTATATATACAGTATATATAGTGAAGATTGATCATAATAATAATAGTAATTATTTTGTAGAATTCTCCATATGTGAAATAAGTTTTCTTTCCGCTGATCAGTTTGGATAAAAAGAGAAGAACAAGTGTTTGGACAAAAAACAGATGGATATGTCAACAGGCTCAAGAAGAGAACAAAAAGTTGTGGTGTTAAAATGAAGGCAGTTGACTCCAATTTATTTTGGTGGGTTCATGCTGAGTACATTGTGAAAGAGATGGGTATAGATTAGCATCTGACAGGATCAGACAGTCTGTGCTCTTGACCATCCCTCTTGGTTGTGTTCAGTCAATTCCCGAACAGCTGAGATGATCACTAACACTAAAACAGATTAATTATGTCAGTTAAACATTTTCCTTTGCCTGGAAGCTCAATGTATTACTTTAAACCATCATGAAATGTCTTTTTTTTTTACCGTTGCACTTTTATGCAGTTACAACTAAAGAAAGAAAACAATTTTGACAAATTATTTTGTGCTTTTCTGACAGAAATTTGACTGTAAGGTAAACCGCTTACTTGGTGCTTGTCTCCCTCTTCCCAGCCGCTGTCACATTCAAGGTGTTTAGATTACATGGAGTGTGTTTAAATGAAACCCAGTGTTCAGCAGCTGTCAGAAGAGCAATCCTGGCTTTCAGATACAAGATCAATTTCACAATATGGTGGGATCCAAACTAATGCCCCCAATGATGGGACCCAAGTCTATACCTCACCTCAAGGCTGCTGCTTGTAATGTGTAATCTGTGTGAAAATATGAGATTATTGATAATCTTGTCTTCACCAGGAGAACAGAGGTGTGACACGTAGTTTAAATTCTTGGGAATTGTCCCGAATGTTTTGCTGGAATGAGACATACATTTTTTAAAATGGCAGGACAGCAGCTGCAGTCAGACAGCATGTACTCATCAAGCAGCGTGCGTTCACAGCATCCTGTGGACGTTTCTTGAGCAGAGAGAGGACACGGGCTCTGAAATCTTTCATCAGCGTCTAGTGTGTCCCTCATCCTGCTGTATCGGTGGAAATGATGGGGGAAAGTTTAAAGATGACAACGTTGCTTTGATTACAAACAGTTTTCAGCCGAGAGGCACTGTTTGAAGGGTGCAGTTTACTGTCGTTGAAATGGAACTGTACACATTTAGGGCTGTCAATCAGTTAAAATCATTAAATACCATGATATTAATAAAAATACCAATTCATAGTTTTAATATATCCTGATAACACCCTCTAAATGTACATAATACAATTCAAAAGTTTTTTTTTAAATGTACAACTGTTATTAACTGTTATATATTATTGATAATAATAAGAAATGTTTTCTTGAGCACCAAAACAGCATATTAAAATTATTTCTGATGGATCATGTGACACTGTGACAAATTCAGCTTTGCAATAACAGGAATAAGTTACACTTAAAAACATATTAAAATAGAAAACAGTTCATTTAAATTGTAATAATATTTCACAATATTATTGTTATGACTATATTTTTTATCAAATAAATGCACCCTTGGTAAGCATAAGATGCTTCTTTTAAAAACATTTAAATGTCATACTGACCCAAAACCATTAAATGTGTAGATCATTCAGGAAAATTGCATTAATTGTATAGCATACAAAATTATTAAATAAGTATTGCAAAAAGTAGCTTTAGAGGTCAGTAATTGTTCATTTCCATATCAGTGAATCTCAGCACAATTTTCACTGGCTTATAGCCCATTGCAGTCCATTTTGCAAGCAAGTCTAATGTGGGGTTGACGCAGGGGACATCTGGTATTTCAGCTATGATATTTTTAGACTGTGGGTTTACACCAGGGATTCCCAAACATTTTCATGAACCGATCTAGAAAGGTGTAATCTATCTCTGGACATTTTTTTATATAATGGAGATAAACACATTTGTTCTCTTTAAGTTAATGTTTTTACATATCAGTTTCATTGCAATATTGTTAGTTTTATGGTAAGGTATGAAAATGTGGATAATGAACAAAGTTATACAGTTGAGAGAAAGATTACATTTTCAAATGATATATTTTCACTTTTTTTTTAGTGGTGCAAAAAAGTAAGAGCAGCCTAATGGCTGTACTGAGGGAATGATTCATTGACGTGGCACTTGTAGTTAAAAAAAAGTTATGTTGATTCAGAAGCTGCTATTAGGAATTTGGTAAATTCATTCAGAGGGATTAATTCAAACCAGTGGCGCTTCAGTTTATGGGTCTATTTCAATGACTCTGGCTGATAAGAGTCATTATTATTATTATCAATGTAACATAGATTTTTTTTTCAGGAATCTTGGATGAATAGCAAGTTCAAAAGAACAGCTTTTATTTAAAAGAGAATAGAAAAATCTAACTGTCTTTACTGTAACTTTTGATCAGTTTAATGTCTTTGCTAAATAAAAGTATTTTTTAAAAATTTTACAGAGCCCAAACTTTTCAACAGTACTGTATCCCCTCCAACAAACATGTTAACTGTATTTAATTTAACAGATATTTTTTTCCTATTTCAGACACGGGATGAACCTGCAACCATTCTCACACTATGTGCGACCCACTTATTCCCAATTTGCAACTCACCAGTTTGAAAACCGCAGGTGTTTTCACATGCAGGTTGCCATCTTTGGCCGTTTCATCACATCTCTATGTTTTCTTATTGAGACCCCTGCATTCTATTTGATTCCACTATTATATTAATCACACTAAATTAAAGCATTAAATTGGCATCCCTAAACAAAATATTCCATAATCGGTGTGTTAAAGTCTGTGCTAAATTAGAGAACTCTCTGTCACAATAATCAAATTCACTCAATACAGCTAGGACCATCAAACAAATCACTCTACATATTTTTCATCTCTCCTGCTTGAGATACATGTCAATCAAATGTTAATTAGGCGTGTGTGTGTGTGTGTGTGTGTGTATCAATTCTCTCTCTCTCTCTCTCTCTCTCAGATCTATCTCTCTCAAGCATAATCACATTGATTAACTGCCTGGCTGATGGGTAAAGAGTGGAGTGGATCTGTGTCGATGGAGAGAGAGAAAGCGAGAGGATTGGCTTTATTGATTCATCAGCAGTCACATTTAGCAGTTCAGTAACCTGTTAATTCACACCGTCTGCAACCATCCTAGAGAACTAATTATCACCATGTGTGTGTGCTTTCATTCAGTCTAGCAGCTTTTCTTGAACATAAACTCTTAACTTGAAAACATCACCCTGACATCTGTTGATTAATTACTATTATATATTTGAACACTTCTTAGCGAATTGAAAATATATCTGTTTTTCACAGCCTAATTATAATGTGCTGTAAAATTAGAGTTCATATAAATAATGAACAGCCAAATGGTTTTGCCACTGCAAAAAGACCAAATTCCTTAGGTTTTCTCATACATATACTGAATGAGCAATGGAAGAAAAGAAAAGCTTGAGATAAATGAGATCTTGCACTCAGACTGAGCGAAAGCGATAGAGAGAGATGGAAAGAGCATGTTAGACCCTTTAGCCATGCAGATTAAAGGTTGATAAGCTTTATCAGCATGCCACTGAATAATGTGAGCCGCTGGATTATTGTTTCTGTGGAATTACACTGTGTGTGGCATTTGTTTTCTCTCTGTCCCGACAAACACACACACATACATTCAGAGATGGAGGACGGTTGTATTACAATACAATCACACAGCGAGAAGCCTGCAGCAGTCATTTGAAGTGTCTGAAATTCAGTCATCATATGGAGGTTAAGACAGCAGGCTACCCTCCCAGAATGCATTTAGCCCTTCCATTAAAAATCAGCACACAGATTATTCCTCTCAGACCTACCTGCCTTCTGTCTTCTGGAAGTGTCCTTTTCTCTTCTAGTCTTTCCCAAGGGAGCAGAACCTCTGTAGAACAAACTCAAAGTGAAAGAAAAAAGTGTGCATGTTTGTCTAAGAAAACAAATGGAAAGCAAGGCCATGTTTGAACCTCTGGCCTGGACCTAGTGGCTTTACTATAATATGATTCTGTTATGGATGTTGAGAGTTTATAGGTCAAACCTCCTGAAAAGAGCCACATAAAAACCAGACGAATGGTTAAAATTCAATCGCTCAGCACCCAAAGGTCCCCATGAGGAAACCGGCTTTATAAACGGACTAAATAATGTTTTAATTAAATGTAAAATGATAAAGGTTTCTGCAAGCCTTGATGGAGTAGTTCACCCCCCAAAAAATATTTTTTAACTGTTTTTGTCGATACAATGAGAGTTAGTGGAATTCAAAACAACACTGAAGCCCACTGACTTTAATTGTTTGCCACTTTTTGGGGGGTTCCATAAAAGAAAGAAAGTCATACAGGTTTGAAATAACATGAGGATGAGTAAATAATGACAGAAATGCAATTTTTGGGTGAGCTATCCCTTTCGGTTTAGGGCTGGGGATAGAAATGTCATTATCTCAGTATAAACACAACTGAAGTCAATAGAAACTCCCCACTATGATAGAAAACATAGTTTGTGTGTGTTTGTTCTATGGATTGTTTATTTGCTGTTGGTGTAATATGCATTACACAGGCATTACACTGAATATGAGCTGTTTGGCTTGTTTAAAGCATTCTCTCCTTATTTATTGTGCACGTTTATCAGGAGAGACGACACAATGATGTAGTCATTTTCATTCTGTTCATCCCTCTCGCTAAATCCCATTAGATTCTGTCTTTCTCTTGCTTTCTCCCCCGAAAGAGTGGTCATCTCTCTCTCTATCTGGGTTTATGGGTTCTGCCTCAAATTTGTGAGGACAAAAATTGATTGTGCAAAAAATATCCTCCTCCTTCAGTAATATAACCATTCCACTTCCCTCCTCCTCTCTGTCTTTCTCCCTCCTTGGTCTGGCACAGGAAACAGTACAAATATCTGCACAATTCTTCATTTATACCTGAATAATTTCAGCTAGGACCAGCTAAACTACACCCACGCTACCCTTTAGAAAAAGTAATAGGTTACGAAGTTGCTTGCAGAAAGCAGCTAATAACATTAAAGATATTTATGGGGACAATATATAAGCTATGAGATTATATTTAACTCTGGAATCAGAGCAATATACACCTGGTACAAAAACAGTGAGGATGTAAACTGGAGGGGAAAAAAACTAAACAAATTTAGACTAAGTTCAACAAATAAACACAAATATACAAAACAGTGTCCAGATAAATATTTGGCTAAAAAAAAGAGATACAGGGTCTCAAATGAATCTTTGAATAATTGATTTACACTATCATTCAGATGTTTTGAGTCAGTCCATTTTTAAAAACATAAATACTTTTGTTCAGCAAGGACAAACGTGACAGTAAAGACATTCATAATTTTACAAAAGATTTTTATTTCAACCTGTTATTTGAACTTTCTATTAATCAAAGAATCTTGAAAAAAAAGTATCACTTATTCACAAAAATGTTAAGCAGCACAACTGTTTTCAACATTGATTATAATAAATGTTTGAGCACTAAATCAGCATATTAAACTGATTTCTGAAGGATCATGTGACACTGAAGACTAGGCGAATGGCTGCTTAAAAAATTGAGCTTTGCTATCACAGTGATAGCCACCAGAGGGTACTCCATCCCAGACTACTGCCACTCCATCAAGGACTTCATTACCCATAATCCTCTGCCCGGTCTCATCAGCACTCATTGTTTGCACCTGTGTCTCTTTAGCATTGTTAGCTCACCCTATATAAGCCTGGTTCTCTCCCGGTTCTGTCATTCATTGCTAAGTCTTGTATGCGTCTGCACTGCATTTCTAAGCCTCGTTTCCTGCTTGTCTTTGGATTACCCTTTGCCAGTGTTTGCTATTGTTTGGACTGATTGTCTGTGTTATGACCTTAGCCTGTTTTTGGACTTTGAATGTGGAGTACTCCTTTAATAAATACGGCGTTTGAATCTTCAACCTTCATGTCCTTGTGCAGTTTTTTGACGCACAGGAATAAATTTAATTTTACTATATTAAAATAGAAAAGGCTTGAGCTACTATCACGCTACTGAAAAATGTAGTAGCATTGTTACTTTTAGATAGATATTTTCCAACACTGTAGTGATTACTGCTGTAATCTACTGGAGCAGTTTTCATACAGCAGAACTCGATGAGTTTCTCAGAGTGCATTCTCATTATGTAGTCATTAGTGTGCACTTCCTACTGCAGACGATAATTGGTTTACGTACCTCCCACCACATTGTTTGTTTGAAAGCTCCTTCGCTTTCAGAACTGTAAAGCAGCCATGTTACTATGTTGTGTGCTTTTCCTCATTAACTGTTTTTAACATCTGCTGTTTATCAGTTGATGTGATTGCTTTCGTCTAGGTTTTTGATAACATGTTTCATGATCTCCAATAATTACTTAAAGATTGACATGGGTAATCTTTAGTTGAGTATAAGCTAATTCACATATAGACTTAGTTTGCTGCTAAATTTGGTACCCTGACACACAAAGAAAAGTGTAATACTGCTAAGTACATATGCTTTAATGCATACAGGAGTACTGTATATTTCTCAGTGCATACATGTTCACTCTGTGAGTGTAACACATAGTAACTCATATTTTTCATAATGTCATTAGAGACTGGTGCTGAAAAGTTGTTAAACATTTTTTTTCACACCTCTCTCTTTCTCTTTCTTTAATCTATTGCTCTGCAGGAGAAGACTGCACAATAGCTTATGAAGAAAAATAAAACAAAGCAGAGATACATATACACACATTGAACTCCTTACTGTATGCATTACTACACTGCAAAAATTCCTTATCTAAAAGGAATAGTTCACCCAAAAATGTAAGTTTCCTGAAAATTGACACCCTCAGACAATCCAAGATGAGTTTGTTTCTTCATCAGAACAGATTCGGAAATTTACATCACTTGAGAGAATAGAAAGAATCCAAACAGCTGATAAAAACATCACAGTAACATCTAAACATCCAAGTAATCTATCCGACTCCAGTCCAAATCAACCATAGACTGTAAACAAACAACGGAATCCTGCTAAGATGGCGGCAGCGTGCAGGTTACGTTGCCGCCCTATGTACCGTGACGTCACATTCTCATTCTCTATTAACATCTTGTGGGGTGTAAAGCTTTGTGTTTATAATAAATCCATCAAGACATTTTTAACTTCATACCATTACTTGTGGCCAAAATACAAGTACTTTATCCGTAATATTGCTTTCTCCAGTGAAAATGTTGTCTCGTCTGAATCAAGAGAGAAATATGCAAGCAAGCTCAAGCACCATTTACAAGCCAAAACAGTTCTAAACCAATATTTTGGTGGATTTTATGTGAAAGGACAACAGGGAATGGACTTTTTCACTGGAGGAAGTGTTATTATGGATTATGGAAGCAATGTCAAGAACTTAAAATGTCTTAATGATTGATTTGTTTCTACTGGAGTTGTGTGGATTATTGTAATGTTTTATCAGCTGCTTGAACTCTCATTTTGACGCCAGGGGTGTAACGGTACGTACGTGTATCATGTACCGAACGGTTCACGGGCAAATTCCAAATGGAAGTGATCATCCCTATCCTCTTGGAGTGGGGACTTTGGAGTGAGCAGGGCACGTGAGTACCACTATGTAGTCGTTTGGAATGCACTTGGCAAAGGGAGCGATGTAATTTCCTCATTATCTTCAGCTGGGATGTTCCCGTGACAACGCAGCACGGTGTCCGTCAGCAGATGTCGCTGTTTTACTGTCATAAATTTATTTTTATTGTTAGCATAACTGTTCCAAATAGAGACCCGCGGGACGGATTTTTCAGTCCCTCTCCCTCAAGATTCTGTCCCGCTCCCGCATAAAATATCTTATCTGCTCCCGCCCGCGACATTCATGTTTTGTCCCGCTCCCGCCCGCAAAAGTCCGCATACAAGTAATCTATATAGATTTTTTTCAGTACATCGAAGAAATTTACATGAAATGGTTCTGTAACATCTCCTAAGCTCCACAACATCCCAGCATTAACACTCCCGATAAAATATTTGTTATTTAGGCTAAGCATCAACATTCACAACAGAAAAGCAAGCATGGGCTGCTGCGTGCATGGTTTGGTATGGCAGTATGCAAGCAGCGCTTTCTTTATTATCACTAAAAACTTTATAACACAATAAATATATG